CGTCTAAAGTGCGCTTTGGATTTGTACATCACAAAAGACCATTACACCACTACAGGATACAAAGGCAGTGAACAGTATAATACAACATATCAGCGGTCAATCTCAGATCACCATGTGGAAATGACACATCAGTGGGGAACTCGTCCATCCTGGTTATCATCAAAGAGGATGGCCGACCCTTGTCTTGTTAGGAGGACTTAGCAGCCGTCTAGCCAAGTCACACAATGTGTCCTTCTGAAAAGCTGCTAACTGCTCGTCGTCCAGAAATGTAGTTAGCCCACAGAGCGAAGCCACAAAAGCTTCATTCCTCATATCCCAAAGTTTCACCATTACACTCCGGTTCTTAAATTTAGTCTCTTCTACCGTGTCATCCAAGCGATCATCTAAGTCCTTGTGAACTTTTGAAAGGCGTATGCGTTTTCTTTTAGGTTCTGAAACAGGGAACAACAGAAATTAGCCAACATTAACGACGATCTGAAAGTGCTAAGATACAGCGCATCCTAAGCCTTTACATGATAAAAATAACTCATGGTGAGCAGCCTCCTGAGTCTCACATCCGTTAATGGCGCCGACCGTAAACAAATAATTGAGAAAACACCTATTACTTGTACCACAATGGTCCTCAGAAACACGAAAAAGTTCAAAAATTACCTCCTGTTTCTAAACCGAGTATTTTACCCAGATTTTCGTCAAATGCCTGCTCCGCCGACGTACCAGCTTCGTTTTCCGCGTCAACAATTGGAGACTCGTTTTTAATCACTGCTACAAGACATGAGAAGATCAAAACAGCGATAGCTGCTGTTAGGTCATATATAAAAAAACTATAACTGCCATTTTCTCTTGGAAAATTTCTTAAAGAATTAGAAGACAATAGAAAAAGAAAAAAAACAAAGCAGAAATTACTTTTTAGCTGTAAAGTTCAGTAAAATCGGTACTACAAAACTAACGGGGTAAATTCTGCTGCACATAGGGCTGCAAAAAGTCAAAAACATTGAAATACGGCCATTTCGAAACCCGAGGAGAATATTCTGCAGACGAGGTGATTGCAGATAGCTCTCTTATATACCTCCTTTTTAACGAATTCCATTTTTCGCGACACGAAGAACCTAAAAAAAAAAACAAGGTTTAAACAAAGGGAACTTTTCATCAAATATGTAAAAGAAGGAACCATAAGTTTCTAGAAAAGTAAAACACCTCAAAAACTTCTTGCAAAATTTCACTGTTGAGTCACAACAAATCACAACTGAAAGAATGTGACAAAAAGAGCGCGAGAAATAGCAAGGATGCTTGAACCAAACAAAAAAATCACACAAGAACTCCGGGAAACCTTTGAGCGAATTTCGCAAAAAAACTTCATTAAAAAGCTCTCTGGCCATTGTCACTGATTATAGAGAGCTCTAGCAATAAATAAATGATACAATAACGATACAGGGAAAAAACATGTAGCAAAAAAAAGCGTATAAATAATGCTGTCTTGAAGTACGAGATGTAATACAATAATCCCAAAGCTATACTTTTCAGACCCAGAAAAAAACCGGCCTGTTGAGTGAGATTTGTGAGAACAATGGCGAGTTCGCATTACTCTGGTGCTTTGAAGCGCCGAATTCTCACTTGTTTCTCGACGAGGAACTGAGTTTGAATCTCTAACCAACAATGATATGCTTAAAGCCCCGCTTTATGTGAATATGACTGTCCGCGATTCGCTCTGTGCCAAAGAGGATTCTGTGATTAATAGTTTTTCAGAACGGAATTATGCATCCTTAATCTACAGTAGCCTTTTTCCATCCGGTGAACTAAATTATCTGTATGAATTTCTGTCAGCTATCTCCCCAAAATACTATCAGAAGAAGTCTAAAAAAGTAATAATATACAAGTATATTATGAAAAAATTATAAAGCTTGCAGTCCCTTTGAGCCTTATTCAAATATTGAATCACCTATTCAAGTCATCTGTTGACCTTTTTAATTCCGACAATTCTTATAAACCCCTTAACTACTTAGTAACTACATTCTGTTTCCAAGTCATGTTTTCCTGTTCAAGTTCTATAAGTTGTATTAATTATCACAGAAAAACGATTTTTACAGAAACTTTAACTGAACTATATAGTAACCTGTCCACTTCAAACCAAACCTCTTTAGCAGCTTTTCAATCCCCGGATAAAATTTAACGTAAAGTAAAACATAACTGATAAAAATATAATCAATAAGTACTACTCCAGCATTGTTCGTTCTTTTTTTTTTTAAAATTAAAAACGGATTGCCTAGTTATCTCTGAAGCCCCAAATATTCATAAAAGCAACCATCTCCTTAAGATATGCACCAAGCATTTAAAAAGTAAAAGTGTATCGGCTAAAAACTAACATATCGGTAACTATTACTAGCCCCGACTCCGTTCCAGTCATTCCTACTTCATAATACAATGACCAACAAATCTCTGAAGTGACGTGGCAGACCTGTTTTCCTCCTTCGGTTCCTTTACCGACAAATTTGCAGAACTATTTCAGACAGACACTGTGTGTGCCATAACAAGAATAAACAACCTAGCAGACAAAATTTTTTTTCAATGGAACTTACTTTCAAAGTCAAATGACAGTTTTATCAGCAAAGAGCAATATATAAGAAAAAAAAGAACGGAGCCTGTTCTCTGGAATAACGAAGAAAAAAAAGAATGGCAAAAAGCGGAAGAAAAAATTTAAATGAAAGATCATTCCCTCTTGCAAAACTCTCTGTTCATGATCTGGCCCTTCTAAGCCAAAAAAAAACCTTACCACAATTAAAAGGCGGGGAAGCAATACGAGAGAAAAAACTCACTTTTTGCTACCCAGTGCTACCGAGAACTGCGCAATAATTAATAAACAGGAACAATTTCAGAAAGCTGAGCTTAACGCCTAAATACGCATCTATTTCTATTCGCTTACCTTTGATAATGTGACCCTTCTCCTTCATTTCGTCACCAACGCTTTGCCATAAAAACTGTCGATTACGACCGTCTTGAAAATTCCCAGTTTGCCTATCATACAGCGAAGGATGAGCTTTGACTGTTTCAATCAAGTCCACAATTAAAGCCCTCTCACCATCTACTTCTCTGAAACAACAAATAAAAGCAGTTACCAATTAAACACAGATACACAAAAAAGTAAATTAAAGTAAAGAGAACCATCAACAACAACAGCAACAACATATCTACTAATTACATCAGCAAAAGAAAAAAAAGTAATGGTCAGCTCTTCAATGCAACAATATTATCAAAAAATTCACTCAAACCTTTTCTCCTTTAACTTGCATATACAAGAAAATTATTGCAACAATAAACCAACAAAAACTTATAAATACTAAAAAGGAATGAAAAAAAAAATTTACTCTGAATTCTGGTGTTCACTTTTGAGTGTTGGATCCACCTCAAACATTGATTCCAACTGTTCCATTTGCTTTATTAAAATTCTGAAAATTAAAACTACTAACTGAAAAAGAGCAAAAAAAAAAAAAAAAAAAAAAAAAA